GCTCCTCCTGATTGACAGCAGCAATAGGAACTGCAGCAGCAACTTGGCAGCAGAGTAGCTTCCATTTCTTCTTCCTCAATTGAGTTTGCTGTTGCAGACTTCATCCACTTGAGATCATATTCCATCAATCTTCCTTCTATAGCAAGGATTTCTCAGTTTACTCAGCTCCATTTGATCCGTCCAGCCCTGTATTTCCAACAGCTCCAATTCTGGTCCTTTTTTAAGCTCTTTTGCACATTTTGGCCCCAATTTATGCTAATATTCAACATTGGTCCTTTGATCACCCTGAAATGCAAAATCAAGCCAAAATTAAACTAATTCTATCTAATTGACACCTAATTCTAAGTAGAGATGAGTAGAAAATGCATACTAAAACTGTATATATTTTAGTATTATCATGTATGCATGTTGGAATTTGTGTACTTCATTGCTTTTGTCTTTAAGATTTTGAACATATGTAGCTAAACTCTTTCCTTCTTATCACTTGCAACAAGTTTTAAGTAGGTTCATTTTGGTGGATTCGACACCCATCACTCGTCATGATGTGGTGCCATCCGTTCAATTTTTCCATTGTTTTTTTAATCTTAGAGCTTCTTCTAATCATTTTGAAGCCCTTAGACTAGGTAAAGTGATAACTGGAACTTTAACTGCACCAAATGATTGAAAAACAAAAATATTATCTCTTTTGCCGTCCATCAAATTTTGCACAAGTAATAAGATGGTCATAAGTTGTCGAGTTTCTCAAATCCAAACAATTAATGTATGCCTGATCTTATAACTAGATTTGGTGGACAAAGATATGAAGAAAATAAATCATCTTTGGATGAGAACATGTTGAAATTAATGAAAGCATTGGATGATAGGGACAAAGGATGCTAATAATTTTAAGAGGAGACTACACAAAAGATGGGAAAGATGGAATGTGCAATCAAAGGCCAAGAATGACTGAGATACATGAATGAATAAGCTGGGGGAAAGAAATATGAAAAGCATAAGAAAGTAGAGGAAAAAATCCGATGAAGTAGCAGGAGGAGACTATCAAACGGAACCTCCCGTGGTTAGCGACTTTGTTGGAATCTAGGAGGAAGAGGGAGAAACTTAAGCAGCCAAATAAACTAGGGATAGGGATCGGCAACCTCGACGAAGGGTTAGGGAAAGACCTTTTGTTTAGGGAGGAAAAAAAATGAAAAATAAGGAAATTAAAATGAACACGTGGATAAGGTGACCCTCAACCGGATGTTAACCGTACCAATTGACACGACCCAAATCTTTTAAGTACAAGTAATTTGGTCAAATAATATTAATGGGTATAGGCCCAATTACACTTTTGGATCAAGCCCAATTTCCTGAAAATTCTAGAATGTCCTAAAACTATCTAGAGTTTTGTAGAGTATTAGAGGATTTGAGTAGAATCATGTGGTATTGTCGGAATGTTGTGGAGATTTCTAGAATATTATAGAATTATGGAGGAAGTTGTAGAAATTCTCTAGATTTAGAATTTTTGATACTTTATGTAGAATTATCTAGAACTCTGGGGGCTTCAGTACGCAACTATAAATACCCCAAGACACCCCCCTCCCCCCCCCCCTCCCCCCCAATCATTTTAAACATGAAGAATTCAAGGTGTTGAATTCTAGTTCTCAAGTTCTCCTAAGTTTCCTTTGAGTCCTCGTTCTTTCTTCCTTTCTTTCCTCTAGGCCTTCAACTTACTAACTTAGTTATTTTTAAGAATTTTGAGGGTGTTAAGGGTTAGGTTGAGCTAGAATTTATCGATAGTGGTCTAGAGTGCTACTGCCGCAAGGTTTTGACTAAGAAAATAGTTAGCCCGTGACAGTTGGTATCAGAGCTTCGGCTCGATACATACGCTTTTATTCATCATTAAATTTTTCGAATCATGTCTACTCTAAGGAAGGTTGTTCAAGGTGTGGAGGTTGAGGTGGTGATCACGTTTCTCGTGAGCCAGAGAGGACTTATTCTCGAAAGAGAACCCATAAGGAGAAGTCCGTTGCTCGTGATCCGATGGTTGACTTTAAGAAACGGCTAGCCAAGGTGGAGTTAGCTATGGCCGACCATCATGATCGTTGGGAAGAGCATGCTTCTACGGTGGAAGTTATCTGTAAAGAATGCATGGAGCAATTCAAGGGTGAATTGGAAGAGATCATGCAACAGATGCGTAAAGAGATGCTTGGGGCACTCAACAAGGTGTTTGGAAGGGTCTTTAAGGCTTGCGAGGAAAATGCAGCCAAGGTCACCATGCTCCAAGATGAAGTGTTCAAACTTAGGGGTGAGTTTGAGACTTATCAAGTGTAAATAGAGCAACTCAAGGTACGAGTGGATGTTCTATGTGCTCAAGGGACGACCGGAGTTAGAGGGCCAATGGCCAATGCACCAATACCAGACGTTTATATTGGTAGCCGCAAGACAAGGGATGTAGAGAATTTTCTCTATGGACTTGAAAGGTACTTTGGCACTCTGGGTTTAACGAATAATTCGGTAAGACTCTATCAAGCCTCTTGTTATTTAAAAGATAGTGCTCTATCCTGGTGGAAACGTGTGATGAAACCAGTAGGCCAAGAAGGACCAATCTTCACAACTTGGGAAGGATTTAAGAAGGACTTTAAGAAACAATTCCTCCCGGGTGATGTTGAAAATGAAGTGCGAGCTAAGCTTCGCCGCTTACACCACAAGGCGAACCATATCAAGGAATATTTGCATGAGTTCTCTGATCTATGCTTGAAATTCCTGATCACTCACCCAAAGAAGCTTTGTTTACGTTTATGGACGGTCTTAATCGTTGGGCTAAACTAGAGCTATAATGGAGATGTTCGAGATGTTCAACAAGCTATGCAAGTTGTGGAGTTTCAGAACAATAATAGCCATAAAGGCATAGGTAAGAAACTTTTCAGTGGTACAAATGAAGAAAACGACATGACCTTCTGCCCAAAATCATTTGAAGGAGTAAATATCACCTCCAACAAAGAGAAGTCAAAAACAGAGAAACCAAGACAATTTGAGGGTTGCTTTCTATGTAGAGGATCTCATTTGGTTCGTGATTGTCCTCCTCGTAGTAAACTCGCCGCCATAGCCCAAAGCTTCCGTGTAGATGATAAGTTGGGATACAGCGCATCAAGGACGATGTCCCATTCAGGTGAGGAAGAGTGACACGGCCCAAATCTTTTAAGTACAAGTAAGTAATTTGGCCCAATAATATTAATAGATCTAGGCCCGAATACACTTTTTGGATCAAGCCCAATTTCTGAAAAATTTTGGAATGTCCTAAAACTATCTAGAGGTTTGTAGAGTATTAGAGAATTTGAGTAAAATCATGTGGTATTGTCTGGAATATTGTGGAGATTTATAGAACATTATAGAATTATGGAGGAAGTTGTAGGAATTCTCTAGATTTAGAATTTTTAATACTTTATGTAGAATTATCCAGAACTCTAGGGTGCTTCAGTAGGCAACTATAAAAACTCCAAGCCCCCCTCCCCAAATTCTAAAGCATGAATAATTCAAAGTGTTGATTCTAGTTCTTAAGTTCTCCTAAATTTCCTTTGAGTCCTCGTTCTTTCTTCATTTCTTACCTCTAGGCCTTCAACTTTCTAACTTGGTTCTTTTCAAAAATTTTGAAGGTGTTAAGGGTCATACTGAGCTAACATTCGTCGTTAATGGTCTAGAGTGTTAGTACCGCACGGTTTTAACTAAGAAAATAGTTAGCCCGTGACACAATTATGCTGATACTGAGAATGATTACAAAATCATAATATTGAGAATCATTTTACTTTATAACATTAAGGGCATCTCTAACCCTTTGCCCCTCTAAACTCTATATTTAGAGTTGCTACAGTAAAATTCCACTACTTTTACAATTTAAACAGTGTCAGCATGTCTAACTCATTCTCTCTATAAAATTCCTCTAAAAGGAATATTCTTAGTACATTCTTTTATTTATTTTTTTTTGTCAAATTAACAATTTTTATTTGGATTTATTATTTTCTATTACTAAAATAAATTATATTTACGAAAATTTACAATTATGCATATGATTGTTAGTTTAAATAATAATTAGTAATATTAATTGTTAAATTTAAAACTTTTATTTTTTTCTTCATTGTATAATTTAAATCTATAAATAATAAAAAATTGTTTTTATTATTTTTTTATGTGATTTTATTAATAATAATATGTATATTATGATTTTTTTATAATAAATCGACAATGGTTTTTTAATCCATGTTAAAAATATACATACATGTATTTAATATTAAGGCATAAATTCACTCAATAAAATGATATCTTATGATTATTAATTTTTAGTTCGACCATCTAAACCCCGTAATTATAAACAAAATAGATGTATAGTTAAATTATAGTAATAATTAAACTAATTAAGATGTGAACTATTTAAAAAGGTCAATAAAAAGAGTCCAAAATGAAACAAATCAGCCCAAGAAAATAAAAAGCCCAAACAAAATTCATAATTGTAACCCAAACTTTAGTATAAAAAAAAAAGCAAAAAAGAGAGAGAGAGAGAGAGAGAGAGAGAGAGAGAGAGAGAGAGAGAAGATCCACCCGCATTATAGCGGGTGAACAGTCCCCTTCAATTTGAAGGGATAGAGGCCCGTTTAACGGAGCGGAGTGGGCTGCGTTGGAGAAGCCATTCCGCCAAATCCAACGCGTCCGCCCAGATGCCCTGAGAAGTCTATGCAACTCCCCCACCCTTAACCATAGATCAAGGGTTCGAATCTCGTCATGAGCATGGAGCAACCTTTAATCCTTTGACAAACTCTCCCACCCATCGAGGTGCTTACTATGAGCGAGGGGAATCGATCACCGTTATCGACGGTGGACACACTGCAATATGCGAAAAAAAAGTCTATGCAATTATTAAAATCATTAAGTGCTGTCCGTAGTTTTATGAAACTATGGGGAGCATTTTGTGATGTTTCGTGATTAAAGTAGACATGATTAGAAAGATGGGCTTCGGCTAAATTAATGAATTCCTTTACGGTTAACACGTGACAGACTCAATTGGACAAAAACTTCCGTCGGACAGAAACACGCACATCAGACACAGTGCGAGGGAGGAAGCTATGGTTGCAATCTCACTCTACAGAGGAAATCTTCACAAAGTTCCCGACGTTCCTCGTAAATGGCTGATGCCGGCACACCAACTCACCATCAAAGACTTTAAGAATCTCCTCGGACGTCGTACCCGTGCCCTTTCCCTCCTCCCCAATCCTCAACCCGTCCCGGGCCCTAATCCTCGTATTGGTGCAAATTCGCCTAAGAATGACGATGATAATGGAATTGAAAACCCAATTGCTGATGTTGCTACCAGTGCTGAACCTGGGATTTCTCAATTGGAGGAGCCTCAGAAGAACAATGATAAAGGGGAAGAAAATGTGGGCAAACTGCCATCGGAGGGAGGGAATTGCGTGCAGATGATGGAAGTGGATGTTTCTGCTTCTGCTGTTGTTGAGCTCAATCGGAATGATGATCTCCAGAACGTTGCCACTGAGAATGAGTTGAATGTGGCAAAAGAGGGTAAAGAAGAAGAAGAGAGGAAGGGGGAAAAGAGCCCGGAGGTTGCAACGAAACCTAACTCTGAGGTATATTTTTTTTATCAATCCTATGAATACCTTTCTTCCATTAATTTATCCATGTAGACATTAAAGAACTCTAGGGCCTTTTCGGGAACTGTGTGACTGATGATTTCAGTGGTAGTCTATGCTAATACTTAACTGGTTTTAAATTGAAACCTTAATCTGGTGGTGCTGGAATGTGCTTTTCCGGTGCTTCCGTTTTGACGTCAATCCCTTTTTGGTAATTCCGGGAACCCGCCAGTTTGACCTCATCCTCTCTCACCATCATGTTCTTATTTTCTGCAATTTTCTGATCGACTTTGTGATGTAAAAGCTATTGATTGTATCCGTAATGTCTTGATGTTCTGTCATTGTTGTATTCTTTTTCTTTATTCTCTCAAATTTTGCAGACAATCAACAAAGATGCTGCGGAAAGTTCTGATGCAAAAAGGAAAAAAGAGGTAGAGGAAAGACTGAAATTTTTGAAAGAACAAAAACATGGGTTGGTACAAGTGCTGAAACAGGTATGCTTTGTTTCTTCTCAGTTCTCGTGGGAAAACCATCCACCAGTAGAATAAGCTGTTCGATTTGAATTTGCTTCCTACAGACTGAGTACGTATCAATTTTCCCCTTGCTGGTATGAACAGATACAAAATGCAGAAGACGAACTAAAGAGACGGACTAGTACCCAAGGAGGAACAGGTCGCCCAGTTATACCTCTCAAAGTGGATATTCCTAATGATTCTGGATCAATTACCAGGGTAAACACTCCCAGAATGGGTTCAGATGGAACCTCTGGTGCTGAGATTGAAGGAGGGGAACCCAACAGCTTAGCTAACCTTACTATTGACACTCGGCAATTACTTCGTGTGAGCAGTACCTCACCTTCTCCATCTTCCGATTCTCAACATAAAAAACCTGCTTTTGGTGTGGTAAGTAGTTAATGTTAGATTGTGCCATTACTAAATTGATATGTTTTTATTGATTCCTATCATAAATCTCAGATCCTTTGTGTTTATTTAAAAATTGACCTCGTTGATCCTTCTAGTTCTAGTTGTATAACCTAAGATGACAGCTAATGCTTTTTCCAGAGAAGGTTTTATCTGTTATATTGTTGTTGTTGAGTGTTTTGTTTCTCAATTATAGCTCTCATACGAGTCTCTTAAGTGTCCACGATCAGTCCAGTGTCCACCGTTTTAGTTGCTCTGTTGGCAGTGCTGTATGTTAATAATTCTTACACAACAGAATTGCTACTTTATGCACTGGTTCCAGATATAGTAAGATATCCTTATGGACAACTATCCAGTTGCCATTTATTTCAGGCGTCATATTGTTGTGTTTGTTATCTGTACATGTACTAGTTCTTGCAATTTATAATTTTGGTATATCTAACATATTTGTATTGTTGGCAATTGGCGATTTTATGGATAGCGCTTGCACTGCATAATTTTGGTATACTGATATGTTAGGCTCATGCAAAAAGCTAAACTGACCTGTATTTTACTGTAGAACCGCCTTATTACTGATAAATTTATGGATATTACTATATAACTTTGTGGATGAAATAATAATTAAATAGCTTAAAGTCTTTGATTTTTATTCCCTGCGTTGCAGTCGATTGTTGGCTGTTGTCCTCAAATGGTAGTATCCTCAAAAGAGATGCTTAAAAAAGGGTGTCACGTTTTGTTACGTGTGTTAAAGTGCGGAAACGATGGTGCTGACTACATAGGGACGTCATTTGTGGATGACTAGATTCTCTTAAAAAGTTTATGAAGGCATATTTATGATGATAAACTGTGAAGCTGAACAACAGTATACAAAAGACACAGTACAGAGACTGTGAGGCTTAAACGCAGTATACAAAAGATGCGGTAAAGAAGATGAAGTTTGATGCAGGACAAGTGTCTGTACGGTAGAATGGATGTTAGACACAGTCGCTAAGAATCACTCTTAGAACCTGTTAGGATTTTAGCCAAGGAAATGTTACGTAACCATAACTGTTGAAGAAGGTAAAGGTATTGCTGGAAATCATATGAAATTGACTGAAATTTCCTCTTAAAAGAATACATTATTGAGATTAGGATTCACCATTTACTTTATTGAATAATAAATTCCTTATTCAGACTCCATTGCGAAAAAGTATCACTTGTCTAAATAAACTTTATAAACAAAGTTTTATTGCATTAACCTAAATTAGACATTCATTTTTTCAGAAATGTAATGGACGAATCATAAACCAAGCAGTTATAGTTTGCTGTCAACAACCTTCAACATTCTTTTGTCCTTCTTCTAATAGTTGTTCACAACTGTGTTGGAGTAAAGCTCTCAGGGTCTGACACCTTAGGTCGGAGGAGTGATTAAATTCAGAATTTTCAGCCTTCTATGACTTGTTTCAGTCTCTAACTCTAAAAACACAAATTTCGGTCTCGGTAAAGTTCGGAAAGGTTATTTAAGATCCATTTAGTTTGAAGACACGCTTGAGCTGCATAACTGTGATGGACATGGAAAAGATCCCTTTCTAGTACTTTAAATGGTGAAAATATCTACCCCTGGTTCCGAAAGTTCTTTCTCGTACTTTTCCTTCTGCTTACTCCTAAACTTGCAGTTGTCTTTCTTCATGAAGCTTATGAGTTGGGTTGTCAGCATGCTTATTTGTGCTACCTTACACATGAATTGTGGTACATACAAGTTTTCCTTCTTGTTGATCCCTAATTGTAGTGAAAGAGCCCCCCTTATGCTGTCGAGTATTGTTCTGATGATAAAGTTCCAAACTTTCGAGTTGGGAAAATTATAAATAGACAATAGGTGCATTTAATGGGTTAGTGTCATCCCATAATCTCTTTGGGCGGAGGTAAAGACACAATCGTTGCTAGTTGTTAGGCCTGTTAATGGCCTCCTGACACATGCATTAAGGTCACCACTTGCAGTGGGGTGGATGTGAACTGCAAAAGAATTGCACTATGACAAAAAAGCAGAGCAATAACGCGGTTTTATTAAGATTTTATTCATGTTGATTGATTGATGATACTGCTTAAAGAAATTATCTTATGCTGTAATTCCACTAATGTATGAGGTAGCATTCTGCTGCAATGTGATATATCTATGAAAAAAGAAACTCTTTTTTCCTGCTTCTGGCTATGCATAATAATTTAGGATTTGATCGTTATTTATTCTGTTAAAATTGTCTTTAGCTTGAATTTTGAGTGCTTGTTGAAATTCTCAAGCAAAGATTACAAGTTTTAAAGCAAGTAGTATTTTGAGGCCTCTTCGGCCTCTTCGGCAACTTGGACCTGTGACCTAGTAGGAAACAAATTGATCCCTAAAGAAAATAAATAAAAAATTGGTAAACAAGTTTTAATTGTCAAGGTATCAAAAATTGGTGACTGTTGTCTACATGTGCTTGTTTCAGTGGAAGTTACGCTATTTGTTTTGCTTTCAAACTGAGCATCCTTACATTTGGTTTGGTATTAGAAAAAGAAATCCCTTCTTTTACACTTCCAGTCAATTATATAAGATTTTTCTTGTCAGTAAGCTAGTTTCTTCTACACCAACACGTCTCTTATGAAGATCTAAAAAGTCATGGATGGTAGACGCAAACAAGATTGTAAACCATCAACGGAACATAATTGAAGATTTTGAATTTTAAGACCATAAAATTATGTTGCTGTCCATTTATGACCATTTTGTTGGTTTGGTATTGACAATTGGGTGGATATATTTCATCAATACACTGGTTCTTTTTGAGCTGAAACACTAACTTCTTCCTGAGTCATTTTTTTAGCCTTTTTGATTTCTTAAATGTAGATATTAAAATTCACGACATTATCTGTACCAAATTGTATTGAAAATAATAGTTCTCAATAATTTCAATTCTTTCACACTGCATCTTTCGTGGAAGCAGGTTCCACATCCTGGAAGGACAACATCTGTGGTTTCAGCCAGTCCATCACGTTTTGCTCCCAGTGGTCAGCAAGGACAGACAGCAAATCTACCAACGGTGTCTATTTCAGGAACAAATTACGTTGCCTCCTCACCATCACCTGCTGCATCAGGTGGAACTTCAGTTTTCCGGGAGAACAGAATGCCGAGTCCATGGAATTAGTTCCAAACTAGTTTGGCTCATTTTAGGCAGGCCTGAGCTTAGGTTTACCAGCTTTGTTATCTTTTTGGGCTTTTTTGACAAGCTCTAAATCAGTTTATGTCTATATGTATAAGCAAACAGTTCCAGGAGGTCGTGTAAGCTGTGGAACTTCAAACTCATGACCTTCAAAAGTTGCAGATTTGGGGATGGTTAGTGTTGGTGAAGTGCTGATGATGGGGAGTGTGGGGCTCTGATTTCAAGGTGCCCAACTTGTACTGCAATATGTACACTTGAACAAAAGAAACAATTAAAAGAGTTCTTTTTTATTCCATGCAAGCAGTCGCTATGTTTTGTTTGTATTTCTGTCACACATATGTCAGTCTTAACCATAGTTTTCAAAATCACGATCCGGATCTTAGAATCTTACGATCCTGCGATTCAGAATTAGGAAATCGATCCTGGATCTTATGAAATCCTTTTTTGTAGTGGTATCTTATAGAATCCTTCAAAATCCCAATCTGGATCGTAGGATCCTACGATACAACGATTTCATTAATTTTGTCGATACTTGTACAAGTTGTTGATTTTGTATAAAAAGAGGGGGGAAATGATGAGAAAAGATATAAAAGTTGAAATTTTGAGTTGATGATACTTATGCGAACACTAGTTACTTTTCCTTCATAAAATCAAACAAGAATTGAATTAATTAATTGAAACTCGCAATTTCAAAATTATTATAATATTTTAAATGGTTTTGATCCTATCGATCCAGAATCCGATCCGATCCTGAGACGCCAAAACGATCCTGTGTGAAATTCCGATTTTGAAAACATTGGTCTTAACCATATACTTGAAATGAATATAGCTATGCAAATAGACTTCAGGTCGCTGAGATCTTCGTGATTCAAAGTACCCTGAATAGTCTGAATGTGAATAATTCATTTTATGAAGTGCCTTGAATAGTCTGGATGTGAATAAGCATTTTGTGATTTGCGGTGAATCTGTGTGATTTGCAGAGTTTCTGTGATTGTTTGCTTTCAATAAGAGTGCTGTTCTTGTTATTGCAGGATATGAAGTTTGCCTGAACAAAGTTTTGAATTTAGGCATCGCCAATTTTTGTGAAATTTTAAATGCTCTTGTTAATTTCGTTTTTCTTTTTCCCTCATTATCTTCAGTTTTGGAACATTGGAATTGTTTTCTTCCAAAAGATGGCATTTTGAGTTTCTACTTGATCAAAACTCGTCAGTAAGAATTTAGGCCCCTCCCCTATTCAACAAATAATCTCATATTTTACAATCGACATCAGCAAAGTGAAATTTAATGGAAGAGATTGGGAGAACACCAAGGATATCGTTTACACAAGTACTCCTAAAAGCTTTCAAATGTTAGTATTTATCCATCCTAGAAAAAAAGCCATAAATGTCATGTTTTTTGAGGAAGGACAAATGGCATTTACAAGGTAGCACCACCGAGTGGGAGAATAGCCATAGGACTTCACAGTTTGCACTCTGATTTCAGGTTGCAAGCTGAAAATGAAGTAAATAATCCATGTGTGCTTTACTTTTCAAGCTTTTCTTCTTCGCGGAAAAGGTTGAGGGTCTATCATTTCAGTGTGGAGCCCGAGGCCAGATAATGTGTGTACAAGGAAACCAAAGGACAGGTCCTCATCACAATGGTCTCAGTAAAGAGGATAGGAAAGGACTTTTGCTGATGTAGCTAAGAAGAGAAGCCCTTTCGGAGAGAAATGATTACAACATTCCAGCTTAAAAACCAGACAAAGTAATCTATGATCTAACATTTCAAAAATTACACCATCATTTCCAATTAAACCAAACAAAATAAAGAACTACTAAAGAGACCTATCCCGCTTAAATCCATATTAATCGGACTGCGGAAAAGATAAAGACAACAACTCTATCCATTTACATAAAGATTAGACACTTCTCTTTTAAGTGCAGAAGATTCTTGTTTTCTGGTTGTGAAATAAGGAATGCTATTTCCTCTATCAAAAAAGAACAGCACTGGCTTCAATTCTCCAATGACCTTGGAGCCATGATTCAATAGCCAAAAGTACAGCAGATAAATAGAGTGAAGTTTGAACATTAAAACTGGAATTGGCACCACCAATTGTCCATCAATGCTTCGACAAGCTATGAATACCAACTTAAAAGGCCCATACAGTGTCAAGGCATCATATGTCAAATTGCTCCTACGAAACCAACAGATAGAAAATTTGCAAGTATGCTAGATATGTATCTGAACTTTTACACTATATGATGAAAGTTTTTCATCAGTTTAGCAATTAAAAACTCAAGGAGTTTATTCGGCATGATTTCCTTGAGAAAAACTATTAAAGATGCAACTGATCATCCCAGCTAGTCTAAGTAAAACTAATATACAAACTAACAGAGAAGAAGAACACCTGTCTATGGAAATAAATTCCCTACATCAGAATGCAATTCTTCGCACCTTCAATCTGCTCTCTGTACAGTAGTCTTGAACATGAGAATGTATAGTTTATGATCCATTGAGAAATACATGAAACCACCCACTGAATGTGTGACAAAAGAACCAAAACTGGTCCCTACTATGCAATGCCAAGCGGGTCCATAAACCCCATCAAATTCCTGCAAAAAAATTGAACACCAATCCAATCAAATCTTCCAATCAATTAAGTCATAAATTCCCCCAAAAAAAAGTGAGTCAAAGAATAATCAGTCATCAATCATCAATGATTACTGTTTACCTTTTTGAGGGTAAAAGCAAGAGTCTTGGAAGTGAATTTCTCCAAGCTATCATAAGTTTTCCTGGCACAATCCACAGCATGAATCTGCATAAATGGTGGCATATCAACAGCCACAACCTTGACACCAGCACATGAGAGGAAGTCGGCCAATTCAGTCTGGGAGCAACAAAATGACTTCCTTCTTCTGCCACCATTCAAGGAAAGAGAAATAGAAGGCCGATTCAATTCAATCCCTGGATTAAATTTCTTCAATTCATGGCCTTCTTGACAGTTTGACATCAAGGCAGATTCTTCCTTCACAACGTCCCCATCAAAAAAATACTCTGGTTCCTTCTTTTCTTCTTTCTGGGCAGCTGACAGTGTCTTCAATTCATTGAATTTCTTCCGAGCCACGGCCTTCTCCACATCCAAATCCAGATGGGTTTTCTTAACAACAGATTTCTTGTCCTTTTCTCTAACCTTGGTCCTTGTGTAGCTTCCTTCTTTCTCCAAATCTGCAACCCCATTGACAACAACATTTCTCCCTCTCTGGCTGTTTGACTTGGTCAAAGCCACAGAAGAGTTGTCCAAAACACGAGAATCATTCTGACCCATTTCTTGAAAACGAGAAATCGAATGCCTCAGCCCACTAGAACCTTTAGAGGGAGCATGAATCTTGTGATTTGCATACAGCTTTGCAAAGCGGTTAGAAATGTTCTGGATAGTAGTGGTGGCAGCATCTGGAGGTGCTGCATGAGGTTTGGCGGTGGAACTGTTCGATTTCAACACTGTAGGATCCATAAATGATGATGCTGATTTCGGCTGTGGTTGTTGTTGTTCTATGGTTGATATATGGCACTTTTTGGAAATGGTATGTTTTGTTGTTGTTGCCATTTGTGCTAGTTTTGGCTTTTCTGGGAAGTTGCAGCTGGAAGTAGAAGTTGTTGGAGGCTCCTAAATTCTTCCTAATCCTTAAATATATACAGGGATGGGGAATGAATAGAGAGAGATATTGGTTAATTTTTTTGGGGGCTATGTGTCTTTGAGTAGTTTGCTTTGTACTATTGTGCGGCGTGAGCGGAGGGGAAGGTGGCAAGGGTGATGGAGAATGGATATGGACTTGGCCGAAAGTGAATTAAATTCATCAAATATTTTTAGTTGGACTCTTGATAAACTTGGACTTCAATTGTTTATTTGGGACTTTTGAGTTCCACAAATTGCGGTGTATTATACTACTTCTTCTCTATATAAATACTTTTATATTATAAATTAATAAAATTTTATTAAATAATATAATATATTTTTCAGGCCCCTAGTCAGGATTAGTACAAAAAGCTAGTAAAATTGATATCATAATAAGATATTAAAAAAAACTAAAAAAATCCTACATAAAATAGGTCCCTGAATTACATGAATTGATAATAATTACTCCCTCCGTCCCAAAATTATTGTCCAGTTTGAGATTTCACTTTAGTATAATTTGAACTAAAAATGAAAACTCAAATTAGACAATAATTATGAGACGGAGTGAGTATTTAAAATATCAAGAAAAAAGAAAAGAAAAAGATTTAGTAAAGTAAGAGTCTAAAGCAGTTTATTGTTTTCTTGAACTTTATGTACGAAGAAGAAAAGTTAATTCCTTATTTTTCTCATTATATTTATAATTAGAGTTAATTTCTTAAGTTGAATAATTTTCTTACAAATAGAATTGGAAAAGAACTTTTAGATTAATCATTATTAAATTTTATCGATAAACTAATAATATTGATTTATTAATAATATTTATAAATTAATAAATTTGACGGATTGATTTAAAGAGATTATATTGTAAATATTTGGCTAAAACTCTTCAAAGGTTAATGATTCAATGCCTCCATTTTTTTTTATATGTTGCTTTAGAGTTTGCACATGTATTAAGAAAGTAATGATTGATAATTTAATTTTTAAGCATAATACCTTTCTTGCCCCTAATTATAAGTATTGGAACTCTGCAAAAATTTGAAATTGAAATAAAAGAATGGGTAGATGTTATTAGTATATATTACTAAAAGTATAAGGAAATAAAGGTAAAATTGAAAAAAAAATGTATTTAAGTTAGCATTGAAGATGAAGTGCGATAGATAAAAAAAAAACTTTTTAGTTCACTCTAAAGGGACAGATAGAAAAAAAAATGGAGTTGGTACTTACAAAACATCAGTTGATCAGCATGTGCACCAACAACAATTTCACTCACCAAAGAAGTTATGATAAAATAGAAAGAATTCCCTGTTCTAGACCACATAGTGGTTGGTTCAAAATGTTACATGAGCATAGAACAATTTTAAATTTTTAATCAATTATCTTATTCCTCGTGATACCTACAATTTAAGGAGCAAATTAGTTATATTATTGATGATGGGCACCACGTTATTATTAAATAATAATGATAATAATAATAATAATAATAATAATAATAATAATAATAAAAACGATCACAAATAGCTTTCAAATTGGTGAGTATAGGAACGAACTTTACTTTGATGTAGTTCCTATGACATTATGTGATATTTTGCTAGGTAGGCCTTGGCAGACGGACTTAGATGTTGTGCATTATGGATCAAAGAATGTCTTTGTCTTTACTAAGGATGACATTAGATACATTCTTAAGCCTTTGGCTTATGAGAATGCTGAAAATGTGCTAGAGAAAAGACGTAAGATATCATATACACAATGGAGAGAAAAAAGTCGAGAGAATAACACAAGAAAGTAAAAAGGGTCACGCTGAGACAAGACTTGAGGCGAGAGAAAACTATAAAAATCGCGTGGAAATAGAAAAAAATTGCACGCAATGAGAGAAAATCAGAGTGTGGTGAGGGTGAGGATTTTACTAACCCTTATATTTCATTTGTTCCTTGTGCAGGTTTAGAGGTTGATCATTCGAGGACGAATCCTCTTAAAGAAGGAGGGGATGATGAGAATCATATAGCCTTCCATGGTGGTTCTCCTAGTAAGGAGAATGAGCTAGTCCTTCATTCTAGTTTTGGAATGCCAAGTTTACTTTGCAGGCCGATCAAGGAAGAAATGATGGATCTTGACTACCTATGTGATAGGGAGTTGGTTCACGAGAGCTATGATCAAGATGATGAGAATGTCATTAACTTTGGGGTTCAAACCAAAGGAGATGATTCACTCATGGAAATAAGTACTCAAGAGTATCAAGGGAGTTTGACTCTAGGTGCTCCATGAAGATCATTGATCAAGCAAGAGAAGAGCATTTAGGTTCTTGAATGGACGGCCTATTTGATCAAAGTGTTCAAGATTGAGTCCATTGCTACACAATTGATTGGGTGCAAACTATCTCAATTGTTTTGGCGTTTTTCGATTCATATGGAGTCAATAAAGAGTTTTACAAGTTTTGGAGTAAATTGGAGTTATCTACAACTTGAGGGGCACAAGACCAATATTCCACCGTTTGGAAGGGCGTTCAAGATATTTTACTTCATTACTTTGGAGCTGAATTTTGAAATTAAAATTTGTCTAAGTCTAGGAGTTTATTTTCGAGTTTATCTAATTAAGATAAGCCATGTGGGCTGAATTAAGCTAGAGTGTTTTGTTTAGGAGTCTTAGATTCCTTCTAAATATTATCCTATTTAAGGATAAGTCATTTAGATAAGGTTCCTTAGATTTTAGATAGTCAAAGAGATCAAATACTTTTCTAACTCTACTCATGCGAGAGATAAGATTAGAGAGTCCTAGTTGGTCTTCTTTTGTACTTTGTGACCGAGGTCGCTACTCTATAAATAGGGGGCATGGCCTAAGGTTCAAGGTACCCGTGTGTGGTCATTTTGAGTCTTCTCTAATGAGAGTTTTTCCTTTGAAGAATTTTTGTTAGATGGTGTGTCCATTTTTCATTTGTCAAGTATGATTTAACCAAAAGAGTTTTCATCTTGTCTTGGATCTTTTGATCTTGCAGAAACCGTTTTATTCAAGTATGCTTCTTGATAGAATTGTTTTAAGACTAAATCTTCTTATTTTCATACTACTTCTAGTAGTTCGAGAGTTGAGCTTTTCTTTTGGCTAGGGTTTTCGAAATTCATGATGAGTGTGTTCATAAGTTCCTTTGTGGGGTTTGTCCTACTATTGTTGGATGAGTTTTGCTTTGGCATAAGCATTTTGAGATACTGTTTGTGTTGCATATCTTTGTTGGTTATGGAGAGTACTAATCAATAGTATTCCTTCATAGTTGAGCATTGTTTTCTCCTACCTTTCTTGAGTCTCTTGATTAATGACTGATCAAGTATATTGAATGGTGTCCTTACTATTCTAGTGTGGATTGTTGTTTAATTCGAATCTTTCATAGATTATGTGTTCTTTGCTTGATTTGAGTTAAAGAGATAGATAAACTCCGCACTCTTTTGAGTTTCACGGGATAGACAAATTATCTTCGTACTTTCTTGTTTGATGGTTGCGTTAACAAAATTTGCTTCATCTACGAGATTGCTATCAATTTCGTATAACAGTTGGATAATCGAAACACTACATTTTATTAAAAAGAATTCTTTGAATACAGTAGTCATAAAGCCAATGAAAAAAATAGTAAAAACTTATAATGACTGATATTATATGATAATAATATAGGCTAAAAGTGTAATTTTTTAGGAGAAAATAGAAATTTTACTGCTAAGGACCAACAAAATAGAGGGCCTACTTAGTCATCATGTGTTTTTACTATGTTTGTCAACTATGAATGTTATTTTCCTTAATCTCCATGTCAAAATGATTTTTGCTAGACTAAACATATTTATTTATATTAACAGTTACAACAACTAATACTAAGTTGACTAAGTTGGTTGATTAACAAAAATATACAATAAAATAAAATACAATAGACAAAGTGATCTAATCAATATTCAAGTATTTTAGTTATATCAGGATTTAGTTTACTACGCAAGTTTTTTTAGACTATGGTTCCTTCTTTTTTTTTTCTTAAATCTTAATTTGCATCGCTAGTTTGATCTTTAACGATGAAAATACAACTCATTGCTACACTTAAAAAAGTAAACTACAGATCTTAAACCATTTAAAGTTAGGGTCCTATAGAATAAAATTAAATAGCTAGGCATCTATAATTGTGTTAGATTGGCTTAAACATGTTACCATTTGTTTATTTCTTTAGAGAAATCAAAAGAAATGTTTTCAAAAAAACTTCCCAACTTAGAATATATTTGAAAAACTTCATAAGAATTGCAAAATAATATTGCTATTTAATATGTTGCGTTGCTATCGTCCATATCCTCCTCTAATCTCATGCTCAAGGCCACTCGTTGGATTCAATTTTGCGTCGCCCTTTCCTCAACCATTATAACTCCTTCAATTTAGTCGCTCGATCAATTTGGACCCATGATGTGTTCTTTTTCTTTAAGACCAAGACTCGATGATGGGAATCATGGAGCTTCCTATCAAAGTTCTTCTAAATTGAAAGAATCTAAGGTGTTCTTTTCAAGTGGAGGCCAGGATTGTTTCCTTTCAAGACCAAGGGAAAGTTTGTTGTGAGGATTTGGACTTCAAGGAGGAATCTTTCACCTCAATCTTCTGGAAGAAGCAATGAGGAAGAGTCACTTTAATCATCTAAGTAAAGATCAAGTATCAAATGAATCAAGTGATTGCTTTCTTGAGAATTTGGATGATCCAAGTGAGAGCTCAAGTGAAGGTGTTGTGGAAATCAGTGCTAGTGAGTTTGTTCCAATAAATATGAGCAAGGAGTGCATTGAAGATACACACTCTTCTGTGTAAGTATCACTTGATTGGAGTTTGAGGATTATTTAAGTCCATTGTCCATGTGAGATCATGTCCGTCATAATATCGAAGTTGAAGATTTAGATGAAGACCATCAAGAGGAGGATGGCCGAATCGTGTCTTCAAGGGTGTTTTAGTCTTTATCACTTTGATAGTTGAAAGAGTTTGTAAATAGATAATAATTCTATTTACCTAGAGCCAATAAATTGATTTACTATGAGGGTTAAATTGAGTCAAAATGACCGGACCTAGTATGTTAAATCGTTAAGGTTATTTATGTCTTTTCTTATTAAAAGAAGTGGAGTCTATTACTTTACTTAATAATTAAGTTAGGGTAAGAGTTAGAGTCAAGGTTGACTTCATCTTTTCTTCCTGTGTATTGGATCGAGAAGGGAGAATGGAAATAGACCTTTTCTTTAGCCTAAAGTTTAGGTTTACTTCTTGATGAACAAGAAACCTTGCCAATATAAAGGTGTGGCTGAAATTCCCATAGAGTAGTAAAGATGGAATGGAAACTTTTATAAGTTTTGTAACTTTTTA